AAACCTGTGGTGAGAGATTTATAGACATAGATACGTTATCTGACTCAAAAGGGCACAGTGATTAACGATGCATCTTACTCTTCATGTGTCTTGACACTACGGACATATCCTCAGATTTAAACAAAATATAGTCACTTGTTTTGTTTTCGTGTATTGTTAGTTATTCATCTCACAGACAAAGTAAAGCATTATAGCTGTAAGATCATTTTGGGAAATGTAGTCCATAACATCTGGAGTGCGGAAGGGTGACTACACCTGTCAAAGACTGTAGATAAAATTCTGATTGTGAATATATTTACCCAGTTACATTGAAACACCAATATTTTACCATCACATCCTGGATCATTTACCTTGTAGTGTATTTACAGTACTGACAACGCGAGAGAGATAAAAGGAAGGTTTGTAATGCTATTTCTTTTCTTTCCAGCAGATGGCTCTCTAAACACAAGTGAAACGGATGATTTACCCATCCATGTTCTGTCAGCAAATTGTGTGACTGAAGGTGAAGTCGCAGATGATCAGGGAGGAAATTCTGTGACATTTAATGAATTAAGTAAGAGACCAAGTGAATCTGTGAAATCTGAAACAGCTTTATATGAAGAAAGAAATCTACCAGATGGAGAGATTTACTCACTGAAAGAATGTTCCCAAACAAAATCCACATTACACACGGAATATCCATCTACTCATATTAAGGAGGAACCAACCTCATGTGAAGAAGATAATCTCACACACACTGACATGTATACACTCACAGAACAGACAGAATATCCATCTACTCGTATTAAGGAAGATCCAGTCTCATGTGAAGAAGGAAATCTTACAGAAACTGATATTTATAGACCCTCAGAACTGACACAGTATCCATCTACACATATGAAGGAAGATCCAGTCTCATGTGAAGAAGGAAATCTTACAGAAACTGATATTTATAGACCCACAGAGCTGACACAGTATCCATCTACACATATGAAGGAAGATCCAGTCTCATGTGAAGAAGGAAATCTTACAGAAACTGACATTTATAGACCCTCAGAGCTGACACAGTATCCATCTACACATATGAAGGAAGATCCAGTCTCATGTGAAGAAGGAAATCTTACAGAAACTGACATTTATAGACCCACAGAACTGACACAGTATCCATCTACAGATGTTAAGGAGGAATTGGCTTTATGTGAATATCCATCTATGTCTATTACAGAGGATTCAGCCTCGTGTAAAGAAGGAAATCTTACAGACACAGACATTATTACACCCACAGAACCTTCAGAATATCCATCTACTCATACTGAGGAAGATCTAGTCCCATGTGAAGAAAGGAATCTCACAGAAACTGAAATTTATACGTCCACAGAGCCTACACAGATAGAATATCCATCTACTCCTGTTACGGAAGATCCAGTCTCGTGTGAAGAAGGAAATCTCGGTGATCTGGACATTCAAACCTCTGCTTGTGAGCCTGTGAGACAATACAAAATAGATGCCAATAACTATGATGGTACAAAAGTTTCACTCACAAATTTAAATCAAATGAAATATCAGAGATTCCGTAAAGGGAAGAAAGTGACTTGTTCTGAATGTGGAGAAACATTCACCTGTAAAACAAACTTCATGGGACATCCGTGTTTTCAACCAAAATCACACATTATTGGATTATGCAATACTCAGCAAGGATCTAAATCACGTTCCCGTATCGAACATGAAAAACATATTCAGACAAAATCTCTTCCCAAGTGTAATTTCGTCCACAGTGGGGAAAAGCAAAAACTTTCATGTTCTGAATGTGAGAAATGCTTTCAGACCGTTGCTGCTCTTAAGGTTCATCTGAGGAGCCACACAGGAGAAACACCATTTTCATGTTCTGAATGTGGGAAATGTTTCACTAAAAAATCAGTTCTTATTGCCCATGAACAGTTGCATAGTGGAGAGAAACCATTTTCATGTTCTGAATGTGGGAAATGTTTCACTCAACGAAGCAACTTCAATGCACATTTTAGGATTCACACAGGAATTAAGCCATTTTCATGTTCTGAATGTGGGAAATGTTTCAATCAGAAATCAACTCTTGTTGCCCATAAACGGATCCATAGTGGAGAGAAACCTTTCTCCTGTTCTGTGTGTGGGAAATGTTTCCGTAATAAATCAAATCTTGTTGCCCATGAACGGACTCATAGTGGAAAGAAACCTTTCTCCTGCTCAGAGTGTGGGAAATGTTTCACAAAAAAACCGAATCTTATTGCCCATGAACGGATTCATATTGGAGAGAAAACGTTCTCTTGCTCTGAGTGTAGGCAAAGTTTTTGTACAAAAACAGAGCTTATTGCCCATGTACGGATTCATCGTGTAAAGAAACCCTTCTCCTGCTCTGAGTGTGGGAAATGTTTTACTCAAATGTCAACTCTTAAATCACATCTCCACATTCACACAGGAGAGAAACCATTTCAATGTTCTGAATGTGGGAAATATTTCCTTTATAAAAAAACCCTTAGTAGACATGTGAAGAGTCATATATAAACAAAACCATTCTCATGTTTTGAATATGGGAAGTGTTTGTCTCACAAAGGCTACCTTAATTGTCATGCAAGAGTTCACAATACAAATAATAAAAATAAAAAAAATATAACTGTGGCAAAACTAGCCACTTAAGACTATTCATTTATTGCATGTGTGGATATCCTTGTTTTAGCCGTAAGAACCAAGTCTAATACTGTATGGGGCTTTCAGGCAAATTAGGGCATTCGTATGCTTCCAATGTGAAAAACCAGCATTCCCTATGTAGTTTCACGAACAGTGAGTTTCAACACTGTTCATGAAACGAATGAACTACCGAATGGTTGACCACACACAGGAGGTCATGTTGCGCCCATTAACCGATTGCAACATTGTTGCAATTGGTAGTTAAAGGCTTCCCTAGGTGGCCGTCGTTCGGCTACCGACCACGCGGCGGTCGGCCATCTTGGTTCCTTTGTTAGCCCAGCGGGGTTTTGCCGTCGAGTGCCTGGAACTAAAAACGGCTACTCGACGGCGCGAACACCTCTTGACTTCCAGGCCGTTCGGGAGCCCCGGCCGTTCGGTAGTTTGCTCTACTTATACTAATCGGTATTTTAAGCATATGTTAGAAATAATGTGTCATCTGTTCCCATCCCATCACCGTCTGAGGGGTCCCCTCTTGGGAGGGGTATTGGTCGGTTGTACTTATGTAAGAACGATTTTAATTGTGTATAAAAGAGTATTGTGATGCTAGGGGTAATTGGTATGTGGACTGAAGGGCGGCAAAGTCCATTAATTTGTTGTGTTTGTATATGTGCGATATGTGTGTGACCCCCCCTTGTCTATCCACGGTTTAGCGTTTAAAGTCTGGTATACAGTAGGTGATTGCTTTTATCGGCATTGCCATAGACCGGGAAGTGGAGTTTTCCAGTCATGTCCCAAATCCTCACCATCAGCTAAACCTGGTCTGGGAGTTGCAGCCTGTGTGGTTTAAATTTCTGGGTAACCATAGTATGATGGGCAGGTCAAAGGGCGCCATAGCCGGTCTTTCCAGCCATACCCATTGTAGTGGGTGTGTTAAGGAGGTGGGGCAGAGTCGATGCTAGTACTGTGGCCTGATAGTTTGCTTTGATGTCTGGGAAGGCTAGGCACCCCTGTTTCGTTGGGCCTGCATCAACCTCCTCGAGATTCTAGTTCTAACCCCACCCCACACAAACCTCGACATCTCTTTCTGAATTGTATGCAGATGCAAAAGTGGTACTCGAAGTGGGAGTGTGCGAAAAAGGTATTGGAGCCTAGGTAGGATGGCCGTTTTGAGTGACAATTCTCTCAGTCCAGGTCAAGACTGCGTTTTTGGTAAAGGTCAGGACTGGATATTTGAGGTTGCCCGTCCTCCACTCGAAGAGGTAGTCCCTCTTGAGATTAGCTAAATCCTGGGGGGTAAGCCTTATTCTTAGTGCTTGGGTTTTGCTGGTGTTGAGTGAGTAGTAAAACATTGTAGCGGAGTAGCAGGGGTTAATCCAATAGCTCTCCGCTGGGAACAAAGATTCAGCATACAAAATCACAGGAACACAGCATAATCCACCTCCCCAAGGACTAGACGACACATAGTCTGGGAGTCAACTGCTAGCTTTATTCACAGGTCTGCTTTTATGCATTTCTCCCATGCAAGGGATGTAACTACTCATAATTACTACAGTAACCAATCATACCGTGGTCACCTCCCATCCCTCTCCTCCCCTTAGATTAACACATAACAAGATTAATATGTACACAGTTTTCCCCAATTTGTGGATGTCCCCTAAATACAGGGGGTACAGGGTTGAATAAGGGGTCCCCTGGTAGCCCTGATCTAGGTGAGCAACATACTCAAAATTCACCCAGATCGGACCAGGGGTTCGGGAGTTACAGACTGTTAAAGATTTGACCGACCGCACGGGCTCAGTAGCCGAAAACAGTTCCATGAATTCTGGCCCTGCGGTCGGTCTTTTCTAGTGAATCAAAAGTCCCAAACGGCTGGGGCATCCAGGCTTCCTTTACCGTTCGAATGAATCCCCTCGTTCGTGGGATTCCACATACCGAATGCCGAGGTGTTCGTGTGTTTGCTTTGTGATTTTTGAGCCTGCTGGAGGTCTTAGCGGTACTTGGTTAGTCGAATGCCCGGTTTGAGTTCCAGGCGTTCGACCAAGTACCGCTGTTCGTGCGTAAGATGGCCGCCGCCACGTGTTCGGTAGGCAAAATGGCGGCCACACACTTCACAACATTGTATCTTTGGTTAATAGGAGACACACGACCACCGCGGGGTGGTCTCTCGTTCGGTAGTTTCAGGGCATTCGCATGAATAACAGCATGAATAACAGTATAGTCCGTTCGTGAATTGAGTCTCTGCCTTTGCACACATTCGCTTATAATAACTCCAGTGTTCATTCGCACAGAACAGTTAGTATTTTAGTGGCAGGGTTTGCCACAGACATGTCCCCATATTCCTTTATTAGTTGCAGTATATGCTGCGATGATTCCTCAGGTCGGGAGAAATATAGGAGAATATCAACCGCGAATGCGCTTATTTTAAGTTTGCAACAGTTTAGGTCTATTCCGTGGATTTCCATGTGTTGTCTAATTGTGCATAAAGGACGTTCCAGGGCCAGAACATATATCGTGGCGAGAGAGGACACCTTTGTCTTGTGCAATTTGTAATAGGGAATGATTCGAGAGGAAACCCAATTGCAATACTCGAGCAGTTGAGATGGAATATAGTGCTAAGATTTTGAGCAGGAACTCGGAGGGGAATCCGTACTTTGTTAAAGCCTGTTCTAGGAAGGCCCAGCTGAGGCGGTCAAACGCTTTTTCAGCGTCCAGGGCTAATAGGAGTCCGCCTCAGCCAGCTCCCTTAAGTCGTTCCATTACCAGCGATAATTTGCCAGTATTATCTTGACCATGTCTCCCTGCTACAAAACCTGTTTGGTCATCTTTAATTATGGACTGGAGAATAGGGATAAGTCTGTTAGCGAGAACTTTCACATAGATCTTCGCATTAGTATTTAGCAGAGAAATGGGTTTGTCAGGTTTCGGCAATGTTACTATGGTAGTGAGCAGCATTTCCGATGGGAATGTGCCGGTCTCTAGCGCTGAATGATATACTTTAAGTAAATGGGGGGCCAATATATATGCACATTTTTTATAATACGCGTTGGGAAGGCAATCTGCTCCGCAGGATTTTGATTGTCTTGAGGACTTAGTCTATCGTGATTTGCTGGAGCCGGGAGTCTACTTGGGCCTGAGCAATTTTGGGGAGGTTTATCTAGTTATCCCTTTATGCGTTCTGCTTCCTTGTACCCAGATTACAACTTTTTTAGAGAAATTGCAAATTATTGGGCAATGTCAGTTGGGTTTCTTTTTCCTACCATCTTCACCAGTCAGGTGGGGGATTCTGGAAGATGCCAATTGTGCTCGGAGTCGAGCAGTCAGAAAACGGGATGCTTTCCCGCTAGTATGGTATGTGGTGGCTAGTAGTTTATGCAAAAAATATTTGGTTTTTGTGGGCATTGAGTTCAGTAAGTATGTGGAGTTTATTGGCTACCTCAGGGGAGGGCAACTGTTTGTTTTGGGCCGTAAGTAGCACTATTTGTTTATGGCAGCCCAGTAAACTGGATTGTTGGGTGTGTTTAAGGTATGCAGACCGTCTGATGAACCTACTCCTTACCACTGCCTTGTGGGCAGACCACACTTTTAGGTCTGAAGTTTCCCCATTGGCATTGATGTTGAAATAGCTACTGAGTTCCTCCCTCACCTGGTCTGCAAAAGTTTTATCTTGTAGCAGAGATTCGTTGACCCTCCATGTTCCTTTTCCTTTAAATTTGTACTTATCAAACGGTCTAGGAATACGGTCTGACCACGTTATGTCCCCCAGTTTGCTGGCGCTAATTGTGCTAGTGTGTTATTGTCGAATGTGTCTATGCAGGTATAGGTATTGTGGACCCTGTAATAGAAGGAGTAGTCCCTCTCTTTGGGGTGAAGGACTCTCCAACCATCGTGGAGATTGTGAAAGGTCATCGTGTGGGTTAGTGATTTACAGAGTGCCTGTAAGCTTTTTTTTTCTCTTGCCTGTCGGCGTAGCCGTAGTGTCTAAGGTAGGGGATTGGATAAAATTTAAATTGCCCCCCAGAAGCAGGCCCCCTAGTTTATATTCATAAATTTTTAGCAATAGGTTCCTAAGAAAGGCAGTGGTGTTTGTATTTGGGAAGTACACCGACACTAGGGTGGATGGTATGCCATTGAAAATGCCCACCAGGAAGATGAGTCTTGCAGTGTAAAGGCTACGTTTCTATGTTTAAATATGGATACCCCTTTCATCTTGGATTCTGAGAGGGCGTGGTACTGAATCGGGAATACCTTGTTAAAAATGGCTGGTATCCTGGGTGTTTTGAAATGCATTTCTTGGATATATGCAATGTCCATCACGAGTTTAAGATCCTGGAGGAGGAGCCTCCTCCAACGTGGGGAGTTTAGCCCCTTAACATTATAGGACACTGTTCTCATTACTGGGTATGTTTAATGTGGTCCGCTTATGATATAAGCGTCTGGTATTTGGTAGCGTAGTGGAGCAGGTTGTAAACACATAGCTTGGGGTGTGTCTCTCACAGCGGTTGTGACTCTCCCGGGGGTAAGGGGTGGGGTCAGGGCTTAGGTAGGTGTAGGGCAGATGACACTTGGATATAGGGGTAGAACAGAGGGGTATTGAACCCTATCCGGCTCACAGGTGTTGAGCCTGGTTGCGCTGACAGATTCGAGCGCCTCTCATGTGGGCCGTGGTCATGACATCCCTTGACATAGAGAATTCCTCCCTATTGACAGTATACAGGAGCATTATGTGTGGTGCAGAATTATCTACAAACAGGCAGTAAAGTAGTTCCCTCCATGATTGTTACTTTAGAAACGCACTGATTCCCATTGCCTTGCAGATTAAGGGATAGGCTGTGTGTGCGTCCTGAGTCAGCTTAGTGGGCAGAGTCTACATCTAGCCCTAACTCAGAAATCTCAGGGCCTTTGGTATTTAGGTTACCTCAGATAAGTGGTCTCTGTCATATTTGGGTCTTGTCATGGAACATATCATAAGTAAACTGTTAACTTAACCATTAACTAAATATCAGTAGTCCATAGCGACTCCATCATAGTTATAAGAGTGTCTTGCATACTCTCTGTGAAGAAATCCCTCTCTATGCACCCTAGTTCTCCCTTATTCATTCAGTAGATCTAACTACCGAACAAAGACCACCCCCCGGCTCATTAAGCTTCAAAGCATTTGTCAATTGACCCCTCTATCTGTGTGGCCAGCGTTCGTACTACCGAATGCCACGAGGCTGAGAAAACTGCAGCCATCTTTTTTCAGTCGAATTTTGTGCATTCAATTGAGGGGAACAATCGTTGCTGAGAGCCAGGGGAATCCATTCGGAATTTTATTCGTTTTTTTTTACCCCTTTACTGAAGTGACCGGCAAAACCACCCAAACTCCTGGAACTCTTTTGGGCAGCCAGCCCACGGTTAGCCGGTCACAGAAGACTTCCACCTTTTTTGAGAACCCCTGAACCGATCTGGGTGAAATTTCAATATGTTGGTCACTCAGATCGGGGCTATCAGGGGACATATTATTTGTGGGAATACCTCATGTATAAAGGGGTGTTTCAAATATTGGGGAAAATTGTGATTTTTCTGCCTGGAGATAATCAAGTTATTACTTTATCAGACCTGATTATCTCCAGGACTAGGGGAGGAAATTGTATGTGTGTACTGGGTGTATTTTATGATTTTACTGTAACGGATTGGTTAAACTGTGTCCCTCCCTGTGGGATGTCCCCTTGCATGGGGACTTGCATAAAAGCCTGTGTGTGGTAATTAAAGGCAGTTCTGTTGTACCCTTCTTCTTGACGTCGGCTGATGTTTGGGGATTTGTGTGCTTTATTAAGGGAATTATCTTGTAAAGCTATTTGTATTACTATACATTTAGTCTATTTCAACTACCGAACGGAGAGCTATACTCACTGATGCTCTGGCGGTTCGGGAGGAAACTACCGAATGAGGATTACATATACCCGGTTTCCTTACAACTGGTGACAGCAGTGGGATTAAAATCCCAAATGGACGTCCTGAACCAAGCAAGGGAATGAATGGCTCAGCAATACTAGCTACTTAAGACTACACTAAAAGATTTACTGGAAGCTCAAGGCGTAGTGGCAAGTAACAAGACAAAAGCCATGTTAATTGTAGAGTTAATACAGAGCAACGGAACCAGCAATACAGAGATGGAGCATGAGGAAGAAACCGAGATGCAGAAGGATATCAGATGGATGCTCAGTGTATTGGGACCGAATACATCATCAGAGGCGGTTTTGCAGATCATGGCACAAGCCAGGCAATCGCAAAAAGAGCGAGAGGACAGAGACAGACCGTTTGCTACACTCCCCGGGAAGTATAAATGACCTACCAAAGAAGGTAAACTATGCAGCGTTTAAAATGTTTAATGACAATGACATGGAAATTGACAGTTATTTGCAAGACTTTGAACGTCAATGTGCGCTGGAGGGATTAGACTGCACAAAATGGGCTGCAGTAAATAGCAGCAAGCTGTCAGGAGAAGCAGCAGAGGCGTTACGAGCAGTACCTGATGAGGACATACACAATTATGACAAAGTAAAAGACATTTTGGTGGCCAGATACACTGTGACCCCAGAGGCGTACAGGAAAAAGTTTCGGGAACTTCGGAAGACAAGGAGAGATTCACATACTGAATGGGCTTTTCGGCTACACGTCCCCAACCAAGAACAACAGTGGAGTGTTCTACATGAGGTCAACCCAGTACAAAAAGGAGGCGACAACTGGGACCACCACCGTCAATGGATTACAGTGGATGGCGTGGGGGCCCAAGCTATGAGAGACTCTGGGGCCACTCTAACCGTGGTACAACCACACACGGTCAAGGCTCAAACTCGCACCAGTCGCACAGTAGCCTTAAGGGTAGCTGGGGGTGCCATACACAAGCTACCTACAGCCAACGTCCTTGTCGACTGGGGTTCTGGGTCCAAACAGTTGGAGGTGGCATTATGCAGGAACTGCCGGCAGAGTTCTTATTGGGAAATGACGTAGGCTGTTTAACCTCCCAACTAGCACGGGACACCACTTCGGAAGCCTACCCGGTTACCACCCGAGCCCAAGCCAGACTGGAAGCACTGCTGCACTCTGAGGAAAACAAGGTAGGAGTTGACATACCCCCTTTGCCCGATCCCCCTTCCACCTTCTGGGATACACCACGGGGTTTTGAACATCGAACAGACCCCACACTAGAAGGGTATAGAAAGGCCGTAGAGGTCACTCGGGGGGACAGCACCCACGAAAAGTTTGAATGGTATAAGGGATTGTTGTACCGAGTGACAGGAGGGGTGGTACACGGGGCCACTCAAGTCACTAAAAGACAACTTGTACCCTGTAAGTTTCATACTGAGTTATTAAAACTCAGTCATGACATTCCCCTAGCAGGACATGTAGGGGTTAAGAAGACGAGGGACTGGTTGACCCAAACGTTCTTCTGGCCTAGGATCACGCAAGATCTTAAATAATATTGTAGAACGTGTGATAAATGTCAAAGAATAGGGAAGAGAGGTGACCACCAAAAAGCCAAACCCCCCTCCTTTACCCATTATAAAAGAGCTGTTTCACCGAGTAGCGGTGGACTTAATAGGACCTCTCAGCCGACCCAGTCAGTCCGGCAAGAAGTTCATCCTAACCATAGTGGACTACGCCACTAGATACCCGG